AGCCTTCAAAAAACTTTGATGATTACCTGGACTGCTCAGTTCGTGAACGGTGTGTGCTTTCACTGGCGTGTCACAGAATCTGTGTTTTTCGCTGCAATTGAGTAGCACTGGTAATAATGGGTTAACTATTTCAAGGCTGGGGGCGGTAAAAGGCCAGGGGGTGGTGGTGTAGGGGTGGTATCTTAGATGTCATCTATGGTGCTCTCACTTCCAGAGTAATAGTCATTGGTATTGATGGGTAGCTGTCATATGTAACAGTGCACACTTCATGGAAGTAGCTGAGGGCTGGCCCATGGCTGTTATTTTCAATTAAAGAAGACCTGGGCAGAAGCTGACAGCAGAGACATTTATACGCGCAAGCGGAAAGGAGAGTTTGGAAGCGAGTGTGGCGCTGGCCCCCAGAGCTTGGTATAATGTGAAAACCGAGTTCTGACCTCTGTGACATTAGACTGTGCTAATGCAGGGCTCCTGTGAGGAGCACAGTTAACTAAACCTTCTGCTGTTAACTCTGTCGCAACAGGACGACCGCATACTGGTCAAACTGCCCTCATGAGCAGTTGCAGGATGTCATAAGAAAGACAACATCTTAATGAGTTGCTTTTGACTTTATTTGTTTTTTTAAAAAGGAGCAAAAAACAAGTCAACTTTTTCATCTTTTGTGTCAGTCTGTATTGCAGCTGTAGAAATGCACTGCCATTTATAAATATGGAGATAGATTTTTTTGTTTTCTGACATTCTTCTTATTATTATTATTATTTGCGTAGCAGGAATTCTTATGCATGGTGACAATACATACTATGGAAAACAATTACATTAAAGAATAATCATAATTATAAAAAAAAATAAAATGACAATAAAGCTGTTGTACAAAACAAGGTAAAAGGGTATTAAGTGTTTTATACCTGACATAGTCATTTTATAAAGCACATTTTGTTTAAATGGAGTACAAGTAATACAGAATCTTGCTTTCTGTTGAGAACTACCTGTATCTGTAAACACTTAATTTATTCAGGCCACAACTGGGCACAGTGTACATGTACAATACAAGAGTGAATTACATCAATTACATTATCGTTCATGATAAAGGTAACTGCCATATAAGAAAAGCTCAATTCAAGGTGTTCCATATTACCAGAACTGAAATACTGCTATAGACACACATGTGTGTTTGTATAATAATATACAGCTCTGAGAGCTAAATATCAAATTCAGGTGCCAATACTCATCAGGAGGAAGGCTCAAACGAAGACATACTGTACTGTACAGTTAGAAAACAGAGTCACATTAGTAGCGGTAAAGAAATCAAGTAAATGGAAAGCCAAGGAGAACATATGTTTACAGAGATTATGACAGCCTCCACATCTTGATTGGCTTGCTGGTGATTTTGCAGCAATGTGCCCTCTTGCTGCCAACAGCTATTAATTGGGAGATATTGCTTCTGGGCCCCAGACAGCAGCCTGCACTTCACCAAAACACCTGATGTGAGCGCAATCAGACACAGGGCCTCCAGAACCATGTTTCTCTATTAATAAGCAGTAATGGCACAGACACATTCTCGCCTTGCTATTATTATATTGTAATAAAATTCAGAGCTCCCATGTTCTATACATCACTGTAATTTGTTAACTTTTGACTCTTCAGGAGCAAGCTTTGTCTTATATCTTTTTGCTCTTCATCCTAGAAGGACAGAGAGGAAAATGATTTTCACATGCTGAAGAGCTACTGTGATTAAAAACTCCATATTATAAAATATCTCCATCTCGAATTTAAACTTAATGAAGTAATGATTTTAGCACACTTATAATTGAAATATGTGTGAGCTGGTGGACCCAGATCGATTATAATCCAGTTTTATAGTCTTTTGGAACACACATTTCCGTACGATCAACTGCACACAAGAGAATCTCTGGACTGAAATAACACACTTGGTGAATTGCCCTCTCACCCAATGGTGGGGTATGCCCCTAGGGCAAGATTGAAGCCACTGACAGAGCATTGTGGGATAACCCAGGACTGTGCCCATCTGTGTACTACACGGCTGCTGGACAGAGGAAGGTTTTTTTTGTTCCTAGAGCTATCAGCTGAAGCTATCCATGAGTGCAGGAATTATCCATTAAAAAACAAACAGAAAGATAATGTATTATGACAGGTAATGATCTCCATTCTGACAGTATATGCATATAATACATACTCTGAAATACGCATTTGAAGGGAACAAAATTGCATAGTCCATTGCTTCACTCAAAAATATCCAAAAAACCCTGTATCTTGGCAAAGAGGAGAGTATGATAAACCAGTAGCAAATATTTAAGTGCACTTCACTAATGTGGAGAATTTCACTGTGTTTAAGCAGCAGTACGTGAGCGTGTATACAAATTTAGTGTAGAAGTTACTCTAAAATATTAAAAGTTATCTTAATTATGCAGAGCTCTGTGAGGAGCAATGTTTGTATTTGTGAAGTGTCAAGAAGGTACACCTCTATTTATGGGAGCTGTCTGTATTAAATAGAATGAGATATCACCTGCATTTGTATGACTCTACACTTTTTAATAAGTATGCTTTAATGCTTATGAAGGTTTACACCTGACAATGTGATGGGTATAGTGTATAGATATACCATTTGACTGTTGAGCCCTGCTCAATGGAAACACTTTTGAGCATGTATTTTAAGGAGTAGCAAAAGGATCAATAGCTGGGAGAAGACTCTTAAAAGTGCAATGAGATATTGTTTACAGATTATTCCTTATTATTTCATAGATGCTTTGTAAACATATGGGCAACATGTCAAATAATTAATGTAGTTTGTAGACATTGAGAAGGGAAAGAATTTTGAATAAAGAAATGTGACTGTAATATGTCAATCTTAATCTATATTTTAAATGATAGTGGTTGACAGTAACCAAAGTCATGAGATGACCATTTAATTCATCCCTGATTCACTCGATTCTGTGAATAAAGGCAATAACAGCATTGTTGTTGTGATATAAACATTTTTTTATAAAAACAATGGAGACAAAATAAAAGGAATTAAAACTACATAACGTGTTCAAGAACAATATAGAGTCTGCCAAATAACTGGACTCTCAGAGGTCATAGTGACCAAAGTGCACCAACAGGACAATCATTTTTAATGCTGAGTGGGTTTAGGGTCCTTTACTCTTTAACATGATAGATTAATGTGAAGAGGGTGGATCAGTAGCAAAGAATTTGAGCTTTATAGCTTGAACTGGTGAAAGTTCCTTATTTTATTTAAACTTCCCGTCAGGAGTCAACCCTTGACCTCCACTTCTCAACCTTTCCTTGTTTACTACAGCTGTGTGAAGTGAGGATAACTGAACAAGAGGGATGATGGCAAACATTGACACACAGTTTTGGTGAGCCCAAAAAATAGAGAATGAGAAAATCATTTCAGGAGGTGTATTTCATACACTTTATACATAATATATATTACTCTACCGATTCTAGAAGTGAGACTTATATTATTGTAGTGGCAGAATTTGCATGTTTTAGGAAATATTTCATAACCAGATAATTTGGAGACTTAATCTTTAAAAGTAGAATGTATGCTGAGCTTTTCCAATTAACTGTAAGATGAGGTAAAAATGTCTAGAAATGATAAAAGGCCTCACTTGGTTCTGCATCAGTAAAAAGAGCTCTAACTTGGCCTCAAACCAGGGCAGTATTGAATCCTAAAGTGAGGCCCAAACTATTACAAAACAAATATGCACTCAGGTAGAAGATTGTCCAGTGTTAAAATGGAAAGGTTTACTTATTCATCAAATGAGTTTGGTCAATATGTTCTTCAATTCAAATAGCCTGACTTGGCAGGCAGTGATCATGGAAAGCCCTATAACACAGTGCTGTATAGATCATCTTGAACTTTGTCTCCAGGTGTAGGTCAACTCTTAAAAAAATCAGCAAACAGCATGTGGAATCAATTTTTAAGCCAGTAACATACCACAGAATGGTTGTTTTGAACAGAAGAAGAGCTGTGTTAATCTGTGTTCACTTTATGGGCCATATTCTTCCCAATTAGCAATCATATGCATTTTGTTTCATCTGCATAGTAGCTTAATATAAAAATAGATGTTTTTGAGAGTATTTGAACTGTACTGTATGTGAAGTATGAAAGTAAACACAGTTACAGAACTTTATTAGGAATGTATGTTGTGTATGTATGTGTGGGGTATATTTCTATTTAGTTTGGATTAATGATAAGATTATTTTGTACCTCTCATAGCTTATTTTTTTAATGAACTTCCACGCTTGGTATGTGCAGGAAGATTCCAGGCTGGAAATTTATTGAGACAGCCCTAATACCTTTTACAACATCGGTGTCTCAGGCTTTTTTTTCTCTTCTATGTTGTCTTACTATCTGCCTACATATGCTCACTCGGTTCGGAGGTCACATCTTTT